TCAGCTGTTCGATCGCGCCGGCACCTCACGCGCACACACCCCACATATTCTAGCAATTCAAACTTACATCGCAGTCTGCTCATTATCAAAATAAAATACAGTCATCCAAACATATAAAAGGTTACACTGGTCAGTTTTAATCGTTAATTTAAACGACGATCGATCATGGAAATGATCGAAAATTGACATCCCTACTTACTACCATAAATCATTCCTATAAATTCTACTATTGTTCATTGTTATTTCATGTTTGTTGGGCTACCAACATAAACGGAATAGCATGGCTGCTCAAAAATAGGGAAACAAATATACCTTTAAAGAGTTAACCAACCTGAGGTGTTCTAGGGCCAAAGCAGTCTGATCAAAGTCCCCAGATTCATCATAGACAACCGAGAGCTCAAGAATAGGCACTTTATGAAGTGTAGCCTCCAGCAGGGCCTTCATGGACTCTTCAGTAAGATCACAGCCTCTGGTCTCACACTCCATCGGCAGCACCAGCTCCACCTTTGCCTTCAGCTCCTTACAATCGACATCAACAACCTACAACAACAACCCTCAGCTTTCTAAACACTCCCTTGTGCAGATGCTTCAATCATAAGCATTATCTTTTCATGTTTTAACTGTAAATACCCAAAATGCATGCTATAATGAACTTACTTCAACCAGCACATCAAACACATCAGTGTGCCATATGGCTTGCCAATCACATGGCTCCGCTATCTTCTCCAGGTACTCAGCCGTGAAGGCTTCTACTTCAGATGTTTTACAGTCACCTGTCAAACAACTCAGGTTTATAAACACACTTATTAACTCATTTACTGTTGTGGGTGTCTGTCAGAAGTGTTTGGATGTTACCAAGCATGTAATCTTGATATGCTTTGAATCTCTCATAGTACAGAAGATGGTCTGTCTGGAAGGTGTCCGGCAGTTTTCCATTTCCTGGCCTCTCTGCTCGCTGTAGATGAGTACATGGTCTCTCATCACTATTCAGATAATGGGTGCCGCTGTCATCATCATCATCTTCTGTCTGAAATAACTCTAAAAACAATATACGTTACATCAGCAATGGAAGTTTAATAAAGCGGCATACAGACTTGCATCCAATATCCAAACAAAAGTATTTTGGATCATTTTATATTAAATAAATGAATAAACAAACAAACAGCAGACTCAAATCCAGAGACTGGACTCATATTTTTATTTAATGGGAGTAAATGACAAAGTAACTTTATATATGGAAGAGGTCACACAGAAATCACAGTTAACGTTACATTCATATACCGTGTAAACATCACAAACCTTTTGAAACCAGACTGTGGTTTGGTCTGATCTCATTACAGACCGTCTCTGCCTCTCTTTCTGTCAGTTGGTTGACGTTATGATCTTGATTATTTGGTGGATCTTCACTGGTCAGCGTGATAACGATTTCTACGCTGTTTTCTGTCTCGGCGTATCTCACCTCCTCCGGCTTTGAACACACAAGCTCCTCAGACATCACTGAAGCTTAAACCGTTAATCTAGCTAAAGTAAACGAGGGATAGATAGCAATAAAAGGGTTTATTTAACTAAGTTATCAACTGTCTGTCTCCTCCCTTGACTTGTAACTATTTTCAAACGCTGCCTGGGCGGAGCAGAAGAGCCCAATAAACTCAAGGGGTGGAGCAAACAGACACTCTTAAAGGGACACTGCACACACTTTAGAGCAGCAGTGTTATTTTTGGATCCTGTGTGTTTTGAACTATGGAAAGTAAGTGTGGTGATGATTTTGTATTGAAATACGCCAGAAGTGTCTACACTGCCGGAAATATAAAGAAGAAGACGATTCTGTATTGTTTACAATCCTATTCATGTTTTATTGTTTAAATAAATTGTGTTGCGATCATCTTGGATCCTGTTTCCATGCTAAACTCAACATTACGGTCATTTACTCGCTCTTTGCCAAAAGAAAACAAAATGAACCTCATCTACAGGTGCATCTCAATAAATTAGAATGTTGTGGAAAAGTTCATTTATTTCAGTAATTCAACTCAAATTGTGAAACTCGTGTATTAAATAAATTCAATGCACACAGACTGA